CCGAGTCTTGGTTACCCTGGGAGCGGTGGGCGGCCATCTTGTGTCTGTCATAAGCACCAGTCAGCTGAGAAACACACTTTTCCCAGGAAACACAGATGGTAGGAGAAGCAATGGCTCATGATGGAGCACTCACAGTTCCTGGTGGCTTCTAGCTGTCCCTTGTACGGCTGACACCGCTGCATTTCTATCCTGGATTCTAAGACACCTCATGCCGTCCATAATTAATCCTCTCTTTCTGCCTGAGCTAGATCGCTTCCGGTTTCTATTTGATACCTGAAGAGTCCTAATGTGGTAACAATACGATAGTTCCTGGACCCCGCTGTCCTCTACTTCGGTACATGTTCCCTCCTCCTGCACCCCCTTATTCCATGACTAGTGTTTGTCTATGTCCTGCTTTAGAGATCCAAGCGTCACTGTTCACAGCCCCTCCAAACTCCTCCACCTTGACTCCCTTGTTTTTACTTCCTATCCTTGAAGGAAATGCTAACAAAGAAATAGAGAAAGGCCAGAGGCATCACTGATATATGCCTGGGGCTTCTGAACAGAGAAGGGTTTTATTAGTCTGAATCCCCCAGGACATGTGATACAAAGGCTAGAAAACAAGAAACGTTTCAAAACAAAAACATGTTATTGAGGTCCTGTGAGCAGGCTGGGTCACTCTGGAGGCCACCCGCGGGATAAGGTGCTTGTGAGACCTTTAGAAACTCCAGCAGCAGCTGTACTCTAGCTCCTCTTATTCAGGGTCCTACTCATGTCAACTCAGCTGCTGCTGGTTCTTCCAGATGAACATAAAGCGATCATACGCTGAGGTTCCTGCTGTCACTGGAAAATCACAAACCTGGCATCTTTCAAAAAGCCCCTCTCCCTGATAGGCTCATGCACAGAAAGTAGGTAGGGACGCTAGAAATTTTGAAGCCCTTGAAGGAACCCTGAAAGCAGATAACCAGCTAGCTGACAACTGTGACAACAAGTCACAGTGTTACCCAACAGGGAAACTAAAAATAATCTGTCACCACAGCACGCCTGCCTGGCTGTGTGGTGCAGAACAAACGCCCTAGTACAGGCTGCTGCTGGGTTTCCATCATCATCAGGTCTGATGACATCAAGAAGTCAGAGATGCAGCTGTGAAGATCTCCTGCGAACGGTTTATTAGGCTAACCCTCTCTCTCTCTCTCTCTCTCTCTCTCTCTCTCTCTCTCTCTCTCTCTCTCTAGCTATTTATTTATGCCTCTTGAAAGGGCAATCAGGAGTTGGCTTTGACACCTTTGGTAATTATGCTTCCCTGATGTATTTGCTTATTCTGATAGTCGGTCTTGTTCGGACCTTTTGTAACCCCTCACTATGAGGCACATTATCGAGGGTAAGACCCATATCTGTTCATTTCTACCTCTAAAACCTAATAAGTACTGACAACATAGAAAATCTCAATAAAATATTCATTAGACAAACAGATGAATATGGACAGATGAAAACTCCAACCTCACAGGGAGGGTCCTGGAGACCTTTACCAAGAACCTAAGGATTGGGTCTGACTCTTCAGGGAATCAATGCCATTTCCCATGAATAAACTGAAAAGGGGAAGGGGAAGACGTAGGACACTCAAAGCTTTGATGTTCCTTTCGAGGGAATCAAAAGTGGTTGTTATGACCAGTGTGGGTAAGAGAAAGGGGAATAAAACTGAGGAGACGCGCAGGAGAACTCTGTAGTTTCCATTAAAGAGTCTGAGATTCACTGTACAAAGGATGGGGAGCTGCAGTATAGTCAAGTTTTCAGTGCGAGAGGAACATGATGACATTTTCCTCCGGAGTGTTTTCTTTGGCAGCTCTATGACAGGCACCTGTCAGCCTGGTGGACGTGGGTTTGAGCAGACTGCAGGGACCAGGCAGGAGCCATTGCAGTCAAGGGTTCCGGGAAGGATGGCCTGGCTGAAGAGGTCATTTCAGCACCCTCTCTTGATGTCATTTTTTATCACCCATCAGGACATCACACTCTCCTTCAGGACCAGTGTCTGGGGATTCTGAGGTGTGGCAAAAAAATGCCAACCACAGCAGAGATGGCAAAACCACTCTTTCTCAGGAGGAGGGTGGGTGGAGCCTCTGTCCCCCATAAAGGGAAGGATACAGAAGTCTCTGGGCCACCTCTCTTCTCCCAACAGTCAAATGCCTGACGGTCTCTTTGTACTTTTTCAGTAGGGGGATGAAAAAGAAGAGCAGTGAAGGAGGGGAAGCCAGAAAGCGGCAGAGGAAGAAAACGCACAGGACGGAGCCCCCATCTCATTCACGAGCAGGGAAGGATGAACGCCAGGGAAGACGGAGCAGGATCTGATTGTGGTATGGCCCACCCCCAGGAGTCTGAGCTTACAAAGGAGGTTTCTAGTGGATGGGAAAATGTCCAATGATGTCCGCCCAGCTCCTTTATGGAGGTGGGTGAGCCCTCCCTTCACTATCCAGGACTGAGCAGGTACTGGGGAGACAGCTCCAACCACTTGGCTGGAGGTGGCAGGTCTTAACTGTGGCTGTATAGTGGAATTAGCTGAAGATTAAAAAAAACACTGATGCCTGAATCCCAAACCCAAGAGATCCCAATTTAATTGGTTTTCCTTTTAGTGTGGTTTGGGAATTGGTCTGTTTATAGAACCCTTTGGGTGTCGTGAACACACAGACGGGCTGAGAACAATTGTTCTAGACCAGGAGCCAGCACACTTGCTTCATAAAGGGACAGAAGGTCATTATTCGGAGTCTTATGGACTGTATGATCCCTGATAACACTTCAGTTCGGTGGTTGGAGTGTGAAGCCACACACAAAATATAAATGGATGAGTATACGTGTGTTCCAATAATACTTTATTCATAAAAACAGAGCATGGGCTGGAATTTAGTCCTGAGCCACATTTTATTGGGGTACTGCATACCCCAATGCATCCGCTGAACAATCCAGACTTTTTAAGGTAGAGGAAAAAAAGTAGAAAAATACTGTAGTTTTGTTTTTTTTTTAAAAAGACATTGCCTCAACTGAATGTGCCAGGCTCTGCTGACTCCCCATGGGAGACTTTGCCTTGGAGGAGGTGGGAATGGAGGGTGGGTTGAGGGGGAAGGCTGGGGGGCGGGATGAGGGAGGAGAGGAGAATCTATGGCTGGTATGTAAAATGAAAAGAAAATCTCTTAATAATAAAAAAAATGAAAAAAAGACATTTGGAATAATGTTCTATTTTTTCTTTGAGTACAATGAGATATGTTTCTGAGTTCCGTTTCCTAAAATGCTTTTGAGAAAGTAAAATTGATGACTGACAAAAATTTACCTTACTGGTAATCCATCCTATAATAGCTGTCTACTCATAATGACATAGTGGGGTTAACTTCACATTCGAAATATGCTAAATAAATGGTTTGAACAAAAACCTTGCATCTAAGTCAGCCTCAACAAGCTGAACAAGTCTGGGGCATGGAAGAAAAAGTAGATTACTAACCTTCGTTAAACTTCTATGCAGTGTGTGTGTGTGTGTGTGTGTGTGTGTGTGTGTGTGTGTGTGTGTGTTTGGGAGACCAAGTGTGACTTTGTGTTTGTGCGTGTGCATGTGGAGGACAGGGGTGAATGTCAGACATCCTCCTCCATCACTGCCCACCTTAGCTTTTGAGACAGGGTCTCTCACGGAACCTAGAGCTCGCTGTTTCTATTAACTGTCGGGCTAGCAAGTCCCTGAGATCTGCCTGTTTCTGTGCATTAACACATCTGGCTTTTTTTCTTTTTACGTTTATTAACTTGGTCCCCCTCGTGTGGTGTGTGTGTGTGTGTGTGTGTGTGGTGTGGTATTGTGTGTGTGTGTATGTATGTGGTGTATGTGGTGTGTGTATGTGTATATATGTGGTATAATATGTGTTGGTATGTGATGTGGTATGTTGTGGTATGTGGTGTGGTGTACGTGTGGGGGGTGGTATGTGAAGTGGTATTTGTGGTGTGTAGTATGATGTGGTGGTTTTTTGTGTGTATGTGGTGCATGTGGTGTGGTGTGGTGTGTCATGGTGTATGGTGTAGTGTGGGGTATGGTGTGGTGTTGTCTGTGTGTGGTGTTTGTGTGGTGTGGTATAGTGTGTGTGTGTATGGTGTGGTATGTGTGTGTGTGATGTGGTATGTGGTGTGGCATATGGTATGATGTGGTATTGTGTGTGTGTGTGTGGTGTGGTGTGTCCTGGTGTGGTGTTGTGTGTGTGTGGTATGGTGTGGTGTGTGTGTGGTGTGTTATATGATGTGTTGCATGTGTGTGGTGTGTGATGTGGTGATGGTGGTGGTGTGTGTGTGTACCACAGTGCACCTGTAGAGGACAGAGGGAGTCAATTCTCTCCTTTACTAAGTGGGTTCTGGAGATTGAACTCAGATTATTAAGTTTGGTAGCTAGCAGCTTTGCCATTGAGCCATCTTGCAGGCCCCCAAACTTGACTTTTTGTGAGGGTGCTAGAAATCCAAACTCAAGTCCCCTTGCTTGTACAGAAGGCGCTTCACCCCTGAGCCATCTACTTAGGCCTCAATTGTGACTCTTGTGCTTTGAAGAAAAGAAAAAATCCAGTAAGATATAAAGATGAAAACTTTTTCAATGGTGAATGAATAAAACAGATTAGACTTTAAAATAGGCACTTAGTCTTAGATAGTGGAAGGGACAGAAAAAGTTAGAACCCAGAGTGAGGAAAATGTCTTTATTGGTCAGGCTGGATGTCTCAAGTGCTCACTCATTTCCTTGGCTGGAGCTCAGTCCAAGCCTGTTTTGCTTTTGCTGTGGGATTTGTTTCTGATTCAACACAGGGACCCGTTTCAATGCATGCTGTCATTTTACGTTGCGGAAACCCCGGGGAGGCAGAGCTACCTTCGAGAGATGAGTATGAGCGAGGGTGTGAGACCCAGCTCCTATTCTCCCTGATACTATCGACCTCTACGGAAAACCGTCAAATGGCTGCAAGACATTTGCTCCTCAGTCAAGCTGGATGAGCTGCAGATGACGTCACCCTCACCTTTATCCTGTCGATGTTGGCCTCCATCTTCAGCTGCTCTACGAGCTTCCTGGCTTGTGCTATGCTGGCGGTGTTGTTGCTGGCCATTGGAGAGCTGGACGTGGTTTTCAGACGCTCTAGAGAACAAAGGAAAACTGCATCAGAGAGTTCACAAGCTGCGGAACATGCAGTCTTCACACCTCAGAACAGCGAGGTAAGATCATGCAGATCTCAGAACAGTGACGGTAACTCGGGCCAGTTCCCCAGCCATCTACCCAGTCAGCATTATGTCTAACTAGCAGGATTTGACTGCCCATTTCTGGCCTGCCCCAAAGGGGAATGTTCACCTAGTTAGGCAGAGTAAAATGCACTGATATATACATATACATACACATATATATGATACTAAATCGACAACTTATAAAATGCTCTGGAAGTGGTAGGGTACTGGTGCACACCACCACTGTGTGGCTGCTGTGGCTGCTGTGGGTTGTGGGTGCTCTGTTGTCGGGGCTTGGGTGAAGTGTCCTTAGTTAGAAGATGAGAAGGAAAGCCGGGTGGAGGGATGGGGGAAAATTCAACGCTCCTTCGGGTCTCAACACTATTTCCAATATTCTGACGGACTCAAGCTCCACCCTGCTGCTTAGCTGTGACCACCTCAGACGGCTTACCACAGGGCCACTATACTGGGGAACCAGGGGTGGTGGCCGATGAGGGGGAGGGTAGCTAGTCAGCGCCACTTAATTGCGCATTGCGAAGAGCCATCCCTCCAGGCTCTGAACGTGGCTGAGTTCACAGTTGTTGCTCACAGTTGTTTTCCTCACAGCCCTGCAGGAACACATCCACAGTGTCGGGGGAAGACAGAACCACGTCTAAATTGCTAAGGACGTTAATTTGTTTACTAGTATTTTTCTGCACTAAGCACAAAAGACTTCCTCTTCAGTGCACTTGTGCTTTGAAAGGGACGTTCTCCGCCTGTGTAGCTCACGAGGCAGTGTCTCTGCTAGAGCTCCCGGGGCCCCCCCGTCATGTGGCTTGCCTCCCACGCCCTTCCAACCCTATCCTAATCTTAGTTCTCTTCTTATCCTTTCTTGGCCCATCATATCATCGTACTTTATTATTACCGTCCTTTTTAAAAGCATTCTGTTTCGTGTTCGCTGTCCTCCCCCAAATCTTGATGGGGCCTTGCTTCTCATCAAAGTCCCATGCTATCATTTAAAGCTGCCCCCGGAACAGAGTAGCAATGGCCTAGAGCTTTAATTTAACTAGGATGCCAGACCCAGGAAATGAAACCTGACACGTGGCATCGATCAACACTGGTCCAATCTTGTTTTGGATCCATTATATTAAACATTGTAACTCTGGCTCTCTTTGGGAAGTTTTTTTTTATGTAGTGATGGAGCGGGACCAGGTTCTTCATCTCAAAAAAGAACTCGGGCACATAGGAAATCCAATGTATGAAGGATAACCTATGATATGTCATAGACAAGTTTATCTACCACTAAAATAAATTGTTTTGTTGTTTTCATTACCAAAAAAAGCAGAAGACTATAAGTGATCTCTTTAGTCTTAAGAAAAAAGTTTCTAAATTATTTGTTCAATAATTTTTCATACATAATTCTTCAAGATCAAAGAAGACGTTATGTATAATTCTCTCTCGCCTTCCTTCTGAGAAGTTAGCTTAGAGGGCATGTTGATAAAACAAGCCACCCAACATTTGCCATGTAAACGGAAAGGCAATTAACTGTGTTCGGCAATTTTGTTTCAAAGGATCTGGAGACAATACAGTGGGGGCGGGAATTGAAGCATTGTCTGCAGCAACCAGGAGCTCCAAACTGTACCTTCAGATACTTGAAGATTAAAAAAAAAGGGAGAAATTCATGTTAAAAGGAGGAGGAGGCCGGGCGGTGGTGGCGCACGCCTTTAATCCCAGCACTCGGGAGGCAGAGCCAGGCGGATCTCTGTGAGTTCGAGGCCAGCCTGGGCTACCAAGTGAGTTCCAGGAAAAGGCGCAAAGCTACACAAGAGAAACCCTGTCTCGAAAAACCAAAAAAAAAAAAAAAAAAAAAAAAAAAAAAAAGGAGGAGGAGGAGGAGGAGGAGGAGGAGGAGGAGGAGAATAAGAAGAATGGGGCTTGGAGGGATGGTTCAATGTGTAAACTACCTGGGTTCAATTCCCTGAAAGCCCACAAGGTGGAAGAAATGATTCCAGCCAGTTGTCCTCAGACCTCCAGATGTGCGCCCTGACCCGTTCGCGCATGCACACACAAAATAAATGTAAAAGACTATGATTTAATCAGCATAGTCATTGCACAGGGATATTATATTTCCAAAACCCAATAAACATTTAACAGCCTAGCAAAACTTTACAAAGCCAAGATGAAGTATTGACTTCCCAGTCAGCCTGAGATGTAAACAGCCATGATCTCTCAGTCCCTGGCCACTGTCTGTGAAGCTAATGTTTCTGCCCAGCTACAATTCATTCATCACATTAGAACGCAGATAATCATAGAATGACTGAACCTTCCCTGGGCCTGAAACAGAGTTGGAAGCCTGGCCAACTACTCTTCTGCCTTGAATTGAAACTAAATCCTATAAAAAACCAGAAGCACAGACCATAATTTGCCTCCCGACACCTTTTGCTCTCTTCTTCATTGGTAATGACGTTTTTTCTTTTTATTTCTTTCCTTAAGTGTATATGTGGGTTACCTGTTTGTACATTCTCATGCGTCGTGTGTGTATAGGTGCGTGAGTGTGTAGGCCAGAGGTCAATGTCAACTGCTCTTTACCTTATTTTTTTTGAGACAGAATCTCTCACTGAATACAGAGATCACTGATTCTTCTAGGCTGGCTGGCCAGTGAGCCTCTTAGATCCTCCTGTTTGTGCCTTCCCGGTCCTAGGACTACAGGTGCATGCCCCCGTGCCCAGTGTTTTTACGGAGGTTCTGGGAGATGAGATTTGGGACCTCCTACTTTCTTGGAGAGTATTTGACCATCTTAGCTGTTTCCCAAGACCACATTGCCTTCTGTTTCACAGCTATTACAGGAACCCTGAAGCAGAGCTGAGTGTTACCTGCTGAGTGATCTGTTTTCCAGCCTCCCTTGCAGCTAGAAATGATTATCTAAGTTTGGGTCAATGAGTGATGTCCTTGAGGGGAGGAGTTAGCCTCACTGTCATTTTCCCTGTTTCTGGCCATCTGGAACATTCCAGGATGAGTAGGGAGAATTTTCTTTTTTTTTTTCCTTTTTAAAAATAAAGATTCATTTAAAAATTATTTTTGTGTGTGTGTGTGTGTGTGTGTGTGTGTGTGTGTGTGTGTGTGTGTGTACACATGTATGCACGTATGTGTGGAGGTCAGAAGAGTGTGATAGATGCCCTAGAACTGAAGTTACAGGCAGTTGTGAGCTGCACTGTGGTTGCTGGGAACTGAACTCAGGTCCTCTGGAAGAACAGCAAGTGCTCTTAGCTGCTGAGCTGTCTCTCCAGGTTCATAATCTGCATTCTTGATGGCAGTGTAGAGATACCATGCCAGCTGTGGACTGGCCACCTTTTATGTGAGAGTGAAGCAAGGGGCATCTTGCTCACAGCCCTGTTAGTAAGAGTTTGGCCACCCCAAACCAGTTGTTTACTGAGCTCCATTCTTGTCTTTTGGATTCTAGGGGAGTCTTGGTGTCTTTTTGCGCTCTGGAGGGGACGGATTTAATGTGTGCAGACTTGTTGCTGCAGTAGTGTACCTTGCACACTTAGCTCCTGAAACAGCAGAAAATTATCTTGCAGCTCTGGATATCAGAAATACGGAATGGGTCTCATGAGGATAAAGTCCAGGTGTAGAGAGGATGGGCAGGACTCCTTCTGGGGGGTGATGGTCCGAGAAAGAACCCATTTCCGTTTTTTCATGGTTTCCAGGGCATTCTTCATGGTTGGAGAAGGTGAGCGAGTCCTTCTATCACTGCTTGGCTTTCTGAGGTCATATCTTTCTTTGACTCTAGTTCCTATTCCGATTATCTCTGCCAGGATCCTTGTAACTCCATTGTGACTTCCTAGGTCACCCCAGATACTCTTCCTCACTTTATGTCAGCTGATCAACAGCCTTAATTCCATCTGCAACCTGAGTCCCCTTTGCTGTGCATTTACAGGTTCTAGGAATTGGAACCTGACCATCTTCAGGAAAGTTGAGAGTAACCAATTACTTTCTGATGGATTTAAGGCCCACTCCATGAGATGGAACCCATAAGCAACACTGTTAAAGTGACCAAGAACCTGAGAATAGATAAGTCATGAACCTAGAGGAAAACCTCACACTACCATTCTGCTAAAGGAACATAGCAGCAGTACAATGACTCCTAATGGCATTCTGCTATACTCATAGATCAGTGTCTCACTCACAACTGGACATTGTGCAGAGAGTTAGAGACTTTGGAGCACTCAGTCCTAAATGGGGTGTTCGCATTCAAGTCTTCCCCTCAGGGATCTATGTGAAAGAGGAGATGGAAAGACTATAAGAGCCATAGGCTCAAGGAAACAGTGTCTCCCGGACACAACAGGACTGATGATCAGATGAACTAACAGAGTCTGTGGCAGCATGCACAAGGCCTGCCTGCACAGGCTCAGTCCAGACAGGGTCCCAGCACTGAGGGGAAGACGTGAACATGGGCTCCACCCCCTAACCGAGAGGCTATCTCTAATTGATACCCACGGGCACAGCGAATATCAGCGTTCTCCAATGGCGTCGCACAGGGTATATTAATCACACTTCAGGGCAGGCCCCACCCCATGCACAGGAATAGCTGTCTAACACAAAACAAACGATACGGTACAATTGTAAACTTTTTGTCTCATTTTACCTTGTTTGGGTTTTTTTTTTTTTTTTTTGACTTGTTGGCCTTTCACTTGTTTATTTCGACTTCTGTTATTGCGTGCGTGCGTGCGTGTGTGCGTGCGTGCGTGTGTGTGTGTGTGTGTGTGTGTGTGTGTGTGTGTGTGTGTGTTTCTTATTTTGTTTTGTTTTTTAAAGAGAGAGGAAAAAGGCCAGGCAGTGATGGCTCACGCCTTTAATCCCAGCACTAAGGAAGCAGAGGCAGGCGGATCTCTGTGAATTCGAGGCCAGGGTGAGTTGTTTCACAGAGGAAACCATGTC